AGCTCTACAACACGCTTGGCATTGCAAATATGTTTTCACCTGAAAAAATTCAGGATTTAATTTAGATCTTGGGGAAAATTAATTTTAAAATAAGGTTATAGAGATTTTCATTTATTTTGATGCTTTTAGTAGTACCATTTGACCAAGTCAAATCCTATCAAGCCTTGAGAACCTAATCCTACTCAAAGTAGGGCTCTTAATCTCAGGGAAATATTCCTTATAAGATACCTAGACCCAAGTCACCCCTCAATTTCTCATAATTTATAACCAAAAAAAGAAATCTTAGAAAAATCTACATATTCCGAGAAAAATACTTAAAAATCCCTTGGGCTAGCCTAAACCCTAGAAACTCTAGCCTAAACTAGAACTAGGAAACCCTAGAAAATCCTAGGTGATATCCTACCCAATTCTCTACAATTATCAAGCCTAAATTTTAATCCTAAATTTAAAAACCCTAAATGAATATGCCCTAGGTATTTATCATTCAATCAAAACTTTGGGGGTCGAAGTTGCAGGCATTTCAACCACTAATGTAAACTGTGCCACCAACTCTACATGCCAGGCCAGAGGACCAAATTCCAACCCTAAGATGAATATGCCTTAAGTATTTATCATTCAATCAAAAGCAAGGGGGGTCGAAGATGAAGGCATTTCAACCGCTAATGTAAAATGTGCCACCAACTCTACGTGCCAGACCAGATGACCAAATTCCAATTAAGCCTTTATTTTCCTTAAATTTTAGTTTATTTTCCTTTCTTTTATTTCTCTCATGTTTTCTTAGTTTCTTGATGGATATCATGTGATTTTAAGCTGGCTCAGTCGGTAGTTCTTAGAGAAGGTTGGTCTTTCGAAATCAGGATCTGTCTTTAAACTATAATTTCACAAACCCCACATTTCTCTATTGAATTTTAATTGTTTACCTTAGAGTATAAATCTGGGTGAGGTTTCATCTAAGATCTTGCTAGATTTGCACTATAAACATTAGAAAAAAAAATAGTGAAGTAGATAAGCTGACTAATTGGTGAGTACGTTGAGAGAAGATTATGGTGAGAGTTTTTTCGATTTTGTTTTTGCAGATTTTCTTACAGAAGAATAATAGTGGTGTACCTTTCCCCTTGTGATGAATAAAATTTTAATAGAGTTCATTTAAAAAACTAAAAGTAATATATCCGGAATGATAAGTTTCTTTTGGTTAAAGTCAGACCAAAAGATATTGAAGATACAAAGGAAAGCGTCATGGTAGGTTATGACCTTTGTATAAAGGGTGAGGTTAGTATAACATGTCTCAACCTTATGCTATTAAAGGTGTACCTCAAAACTATGTTGAAAACGCAGTTTTGGTACCGCAAAACTTTGCAATGATATGGACTGTCCAGATAATTTGTTAGAAGATGAACTAGTTTTAGGATTAGGAATCCCCATTTTTTCATGTCTATAAATCTCGAGGTTAAGATGACTGATTTGAGGGGGTTTTCCAGCATAGGAATAACCCTCTCTAGTGGATTTTTTAAGTGCACATTAGACACCTAATGGTAGCATAATTGTGGCTTGCTCTTTAGCATTGAGTGCATTCATTGTAAGACACGGTTTTTATGAGTCCGCTAACTCATATGTAGATATGCATCCTCTCGTCGTGATCCATTATTGAGAAGGATTTTAGACTTAATTTTTTAGGAATGTGTAATCTCTGACATATTATTAATATGTAAAAGATAAATGTTTAAAACTAAAAGTTAGTTAAAAGTTAGGTGCACATTAGACACCTAATGGTAGCATAATTGTGGCTTGCTCTTTAGCATTGAGTGCATTCATTGAAAGACACGGTTTTTATGAGTCCGCTAACTCATATGTAGATATGCATCCTCTTGTCGTGATCCATTATTGAGATGGATTTTAGACTTAATTTTTTAGGAATGTGTAATCTCTGACATATTATTAATATGTAAAAGATAAATGTTTAAAACTAAAAGTTAGAGTTTTTTTAAGAATATTTTTTGACCCTTGGTTTTTGTTTTTTTTTGGAGGGCCACCACTTTACATCCATCTTTAATATGGATGATCGGTGTGTCAGAGGATGCAAATGTAGAATTACACCCCAGACACATAATTTACTTTGGCTTTATTACATCCTTTTTCCAGGTAGCCTACTTTTGAATGTCAACAAATTTTTATGTATCTTTTGGGTCCTTTGTTTAGCATGAAATCCATCTACTTTATCCCTTTCAAGGGGGGCTACTCTTGAGCATCAACAAATTTTTATATTTCATTTTGGTTCGACCATCTCTTTTGAAGTTACTGATGGAAAAGTGATGGGATTGTCTTCAAAGAGACCATTTATCTTTGTATATAGAGGTCCAATTATTCTTGTCCCTTAAATTTCAAAATAAATAGTTGTAAGAGTATCATTGAATAGACACAAAGTTCAAAAAAAAAATTCTCACCCCAAGCCATCCAATTACAAAAGATAAAATGTCTATTTGTAGACAATCCCAAAAAGGATCTAACTTTTACTCATGAGAAGATCCCAAAAGTGAAAACTAGGCAACATATCATTAAACATTGAATCTTGGATGCAACTCTCGCCTTCTCTTAGGAATATGTCCAGCTTTTGAAGCTAAATCTTTCTTTTATGGGCTTAAAGCCCGTGCAATCTAGACCAGTGTTTCAAAATCAGAATTATTCTTCAACTCAGGATTTGACTTGGATTGACTCATTCAACTCGGGAGATTTGGACTAACTATATTTCACAAAAAAAATTAAAGAAAAGGCTACAATTGGAGAAGGTGATTTCAAGATTTTTGAGAAAAAGTAGGAATGGAAATACCCCTTCTTCTTTTTTTTCGTTGACTCAATGGGGAGATAGCCCCTTATCTTGGTACTGGTAGGAATTGAGCCTAGGATCCAGCATTGCAAACCAATCCAAACACGCTAACACGGACTTGTTTCCTCGATGTTTGCCTATTTTATAAGAGGTGTAATGAGAGTGGAGACCATTTGTTCCTTCATTGCCCATTTACATATGACATTTAATATTGGTTGTTTAAAAAAATAGGTATTGTAGGTCCTTTGTCTCAAAGTTATACTCGACTTATTGAGTACTTGACATTCCATGTGTTACCAAAAATACGCAGTCTAATTTTTTAGATGGAGAGGGCAGCAATTCTATGGGAAGTGTGGCTAGATAAGAATAGACGGGTCTTTGAAGGTGTTTCATTGGAATCTTCAATGATTCAAAGGAGGGTTCAACACACTTTGTGGGGTTGGTTTTGAATCACAAAGGAATGATTTGATAATTCATAAGTGGCTATAGAAGTTAACATGCATAACCGTATGATGCAAAGAGTAATCAAAGTGAGGCCAAAAGTTTGATGGGAGGCACTGGAAGATGGTAGTATCAAATTGAACTTTAATGGTAGCTCGTTGGGTAACTCAAGACCAGCTAAGGTGGGGGGAGTAATGAGAGATTCTAAGGGGGATGTTATTCTGTGTTTTGATGGCCCTTGTGGTGAAAAACTGCAAATGAAGTGGAAATCGTAGCGGTTTTGTAAGGGATGAAAATACTGAAGGATAGGGGATTTCAGTAGCCGTGTGTTATTAAGGGTGATTATTTGAATGTTATTAACTGGTGTAATAATATTTCAACACCCATATGGAGACTTGGATTGATTTGGTTGGCTTTGTTGGAGATTGGAAATGGTTTGCATGCCACTTACTGTGTTTATAGAGAAGCCAATGATGTGGCGGATTCTTGTGCAAAAACAGGAGTTGCCTTACAACCCTTAATTATTTCGGGTGTTTTTTTTTGTTTAATTTTATTGTAATCCATTTTTGAGCAATAAAATTATGGAATTTTGTTGAAAAAAGAAAAAGAACCCTCGTTGACATACTGATTTGGCTTGGGCAAATTCGAGTTAGATCAACGATTTTTTGGTGTTTTCAAGATGGATCGTTGTTTTCTTACTCTAGACAGAAAATAAAGATAATGTGTAGGGCTAGTAACGGTTTGGGCTCCCCGACCCAGAAAAACTAGAGCTTGGTCTAGAAAATGTAGCCCAAGGGCTAAACCGGGACTGAGCTAGGGCGACAATAGGACTAGCCTGGCCTGGTCCTTTACTCCTTTAAATGTTTTTCTTTTCTTTTTTTCCCCCTTAAGTCTATTACGTGTTATCTGGAGTTGGAAGGCTAGGATAGGGCCAGCCATATAAGGGCTGGTCTCAGCTTTGCCCCGGCCCATTGCTAGCTTTGTAAATTCATACCGTACACCTTGTAAATATTATTTAATGGCCTCGTCCGACTGTTACCGCTACATACAGAGGAGAGGAATTCGTGTTAGACAAGAGAAGGATACCATCTTGATCTTATGCATGCGAAGATAAGTTCGCTGCTCCGCTAAACTTTTTCCTTTAAGTTAATGAGGAAGAACATACAATGAGAAAACTATGTCTCACAAGAGCTTGTGAATACTCAAATTCTGATTTTTTTGTGTGTGAAAGATATAGGGCTGCAAATCATCAAGTGCTAACCAATTAAACCCATACTCTTTTTCTAACTTCCGAGTTATGATTGGATCCGGTGTATTAGTACTGGCATGACTGCATCCCAAATTCTCATTTTTAACACTGAAAATAAAAAAAAGGAAGAAGTGGTCATGTATTCTAAAATTTTATATATTCATCATCTTTGTCCTAATTATTTAGGATCGGCTATATTCTAAATTTTTATATATATATATATTTTGGGTAGTTCAAATGTGAGAAATGGACTTGAGATGTAGTATCGCTAAATATTAGCTACTAAACACCAAAGCCCAAACCTAATACTTCTAATACATTTTTCTTGGGCTCATAGGATTTAAGAAACACTTGTAGAGAGACAAAATGAAGGCCAAGAGGCGATAAGCCCATTAGGCCCGGAATGAGCAAATAAGAACTAATTTTCCAATACAATTTCCACAGACCTTATGTTTTTTATCTACATTTGGAGAGAGAGAGAGAGAGAAAAAATGGGGTACCCGGTCCTTAGAAGAAGAAGGGCCGTTCTTTTATCCACGCTAATAATGCTTCTCATGGCGACTTCCATTTCCACCTTAATATTTAGAACCCGCCTCGTTTCTCCCTCCAAATCTCTTCCCTGCCCTCTCTGGTCTTCCTCTTTCTCTCTCTGCCGCTCCAAAAGTTCTCTTTCTCTCTCTTCACGCCAGTACAAAGCCTTTTGCCCTGCGCCTTCTTCTCCTTCTCGTTCTTCTTCTTATTCTTGTGTCCGCGGCTCGAAGCTTCCATCAATGGCGGCGACGGTTAACGTTGAGAATCCATTGTTGAGTGATTTCACCTTTCCTCCGTTTGACGTGGTTGAAGCCAAGCATGTGAGGCCTGGAATGAGGACACTTTTGAAACAACTGGTATTCGAATTCACTGATTGTTATTTCCAATATTCTTTCTTTTCATTTTTGATGGATTTTGGGCTTATGTTTAGACTGATTACCACAGGACTTGTACAGTGAAACTGTTTCAGATATGTGTGTGTTCCTGATTGGTAATGTGTGTGATATTGTGCTTTTTGTTTTTTTAGGGCACGAAAATACTTTCCAAGAAATATTTTCACGTGGAAAAACTCTCTCGTGTTATTAGGTATATGAATATTTTCACACCAACCGGCTGCCAATTGATGTAAAAACAACACACTAGGATAGAATAATGTGAAAAAACTCTCACATATAATTACATGAGGGTTGTTTTTTTTACGCATGCCAAACATATTAAATGGTTTTACTAATCCCAATTATTGCATAGATATTGGTTTGCATTGTAAAAAAGATGCTCATTTTATCTGGAATCCAGTTCATTGTCTGGATTGGAAACTGTATGATTGATTGGTAGAGGATGAACTGTTGTTGCTTGAATTTAAAATCTCTCTCCCCCTCCTCTTATGCAATAAAAGCTCTTATCGATTCACCTCTTTTGTATTTTTTTGGTTCATTTTCATTTTTCTGTTTGTTTGTGTGTGATCCCAACTTGCCAAACAGAAAAGAAACAAGAGTAAAATGAGAAGAAAAGGGCGGTGATCATGGGTGGGACAGGTTGTTGTTTGAATCCAATACTTGAGCTTGCCTGGATATATCAAAGGATAACCTATACCCATTATCAATGTTGATGCACCGAATTATTTGTGTTGTTGGAGGAGAATGCAAAAGTAGAATATAAAGTTTAGTGAGTAGAAAATAATCCGTATGTTTCTTTCTTTTTTCTTTTAAAATTTTTTAGCTGGTTCTGGTCTTCCCTCAATTTAGTCACCATTTCTATGTATTTAATCATCTGGCGCCATGTGCTATTGTCATTTGCATTCTCTAGTTGAACCTAGATTTCCATATATACTGTTAAACTATGCCAAGCATGAATGTCTGCAGTATATAATGGGTACAAAATGGTTTTAGTCGTTACTCTTAGTGAGAAGCACTCAGTGTTTTAAAATACGGGATGCGGCCAAAGCGGTTGGGGGGTCGATGCGGAGATGCGGCTCGATGCTGGTGCATAGCGGCGATGAGGTCAATAAATATAAAAAATTCTAAAAAATCTAAAAAAATAGGTTAATGCATAGAAAAAAATATGGAGGTGATATATATGATAGTAGGTATTTAGTTTATTCATTAACTCCGAAAGTATTAGCTGTTGAAGATTATGTATGCACTATCTCCTGATACAAGCTAGAAACTAGCTTCATAAAACATTCAACAATCAACAACCATAAGCACAAATCTGCAACCACAAAATTCAATTGATCCAATTAAAGGCATGGATGTGGCTGAAAAATGTTGGTTGGGTGGTTTAATCATCCCCAAACCCTTTCCCCCCATTTTTGAAGGTCAAAATGACCTTATTACCCCTGCCCGAGAGGTACAGTTTAGAAAAAAATTGGCGGAAGATTATGTGGCTTGATGTGGTGAGATTGGCTCTGATGCGTAGATATGCAGGTGCATCGCTCCAAACTGCATATGTGGGGATTTGCGATGCGCTGCCCAGCGATAGATGTGGCTGCATTTTAAAACACTGGAAGCACCCAATAGCCTCCTCAGTCCTTGGTTCAAAAGTACTTTCTTTTACATATCAAAGGAAAAATTAAAGTCTTTCCGAATTTACTTTGGCAATAAAATACATAGCCACTCCCCAAACTCTTGTCATATGCATTGAATCACATAAAGTGAATGTTCAGGTATCTACATATCCTAGGCGGCCAGGGGCCTTTCCCACCCACATAGGGGGCTAGGCAAGGTTCCAAGAAGTTATGTTCCCAGTCAACCGCCTAATCTGCGTCTTGTGCCCTTCAGCGAGAGGGTGGAAATTTGCACTCCGCTGTGGCAAAAATCCTCTTTTCTCTCCCCTTTGAGAGGGTAAAGGGTTTATGGAGGCATTGCAACCCCCCAAAACCTGTGTTCTGGTACTTGAGAGAGAAAAACTCCCAAAACAAAGATTTTTTGAGATATTTTTGAATATTGAAATTTTTTTTCAAAGTTTTTGATTTCTTGCGAAATCGTGAAGTAAACCTGTACTTTTTGTGGGTTGATTTGGTTGTGAAAGAAGCCTTTGACTTTCACCGATCACCGATTCAACTAACATCTAGTGCATATTAAGAGGTTAAATCTTTTTATTTATGGTTTATATGATATTCATAAATGTATGGTTGAGGTTTTTTTTTTCCTTGTTTGGTCTTTATTCTTGTAAATTATCCCAAGTTACATTCCTGCCCTGCAATTCCTAAATGGACCACCTAGTGAACTACATTCCCTCCCTGCAGCCTAGGTGGCTTGGACGCCGAGCTGCCTGGGCAGTCGAATCCGCATTTTTCAACATTGTTATTTAGGAGAAGTCCTTTGTAGGATTATGTGGCTAAGCATATCAGGCAGCTAGTTGGAACTTGTAAACTCAAGCTGTGATGGAACTAAGAGGAATTTATAGTACGACAGTAGCTTATTCTCATTCATTTTGTCTGAAAGTTGTTAACTGCAACTGCCATAGTTAGAATGGTAACTAGACTATTGACTGATAGATTTGAGAAAGCAAATAGTATTTCTTCACCCATTCTTCATGGTAAGTATGAAATATATGACTAAAGATCAGAATAGAAAGAAATAAAGACTTGTCATCCTCATCCATTAACCATGCATTTCGAATCGAACAAAGTGTATTGCAATGATAGTGCTCAGATTTTTAACTTAAAAACATCAAACTTGCTCATAACATGCCTCTCTAACTACAGTATTTTAAAATGTTTTTCTTTGTAATTGAATATCATTGCAGTTTCCATACTTATCATATTCGTTTTTGCCATCCGATCCTATATAGATATGCTGGGCTCATTTTTAGATTCAGCTCATCTCGTCTCAACATTTCTTTTCGACCTCTCCTATCCACCTTCTCTCTTTGATGCATATTTCTCCATTTCTTTGGGCTCATTTTGAGCTCAGTTACACATAAACTTGTCTCACTAGTGTATAGTTACTTATAGTAAGTAAGTGAATAAATAAATAAATAGATAAATAGATAGATAGAAAAATAAATAAATTAATAAAGAGTGTTGGGTTATTTATCACTGGGGGGAGGTCTCTATAAGTTATCAATTTAAAAAAATCAAAAGTAAGGCACACCTCTAATTTTTGCTAAATATATATTTTGGATTCTGAAAACCATTCTGGTGGCCAAGAAATCTATTTTCACCCCTACTTATGAAATTGAAATCTACGAAGATGGTGTAGATCGAGCAGATCTATAAACACTTATTTTTAAAAATAGATGGTCTAGATAATGTGTTACAAAATGTGCTATTTTTAGGATTTGAAATACACTTTTTTGCAGAGCCATACATCTCGAGGTCAAGATGACAATTGTAGGGTTTTTCAACATCGGAGCAACCTTTCCAGATAGATTTTTGAGGTGCACCATACTTCTATTGTATAAAGTTGACACCTTATATAAATCTTTTCCTTTATCCCTTTCTATTTCTTGAGGATTTATGTGCACTCTCCGTGTTGGCATATTACCTATTTTATTTGAACAGAACAGAATGCAATGTAATGGTGGGAGTGAAAAAGGGCAATCTTTATTGTTTGAAATGAATATACAAGAAACACAAGTTCTACTCTGACTTTTATGCATCGATGATTCAACACTTAAAAATGTGTAGAATACTGTGTTTTTTTCTATATGTGGAAACTGATTGTTACAAGTTTCTTTTTTTTTCTTTCAAACAATAAAACATTAGTCCCTGAGTTCGTAAAGGAAAGGAAAATTGAGATCCTTCACATCTGATCTATCTTAGCTAGCATATCATTGTTGCTTTATAAACTGTGAGATGAATGTATGTGCTTTTATAAAGGGGAACCTGGAAGATTTAAGGAAGTTGAGGTTGCCCTTCCTAGCTACTAAATTCTATGCACTCATTTACCATGGTTATCAGGTCTCTTTCAAGTTCTTTCCTAGCAAAAAGCCCAATTTTGTGAATGAGCTCATCTGCTTCCCTTTGGATGGAATTTCTCTAAATTCTTGAAAGGCATTCATCATACGATTAAGTGGCTCGTCTGGTTCCCTTTGGATGTAATTTCTCTATATTCTTGAAAGGCATTCATCATATGATTGTCTGGAGGCATTACCTTGCCAGGTCATTTTATTTGGATTGTCATTGACTGATTTATTGTTATTGTGATTTGATGAGTCAACATTTTTTACTGGAAGTGTTTTGGATGCCTAAACATTCTCTCGTTCATTATGCTTTACTCTTTAGGGGCAGGTTTTTTGCTCATGTATTTTGGTATCTGAGTTCTCTGAAATTCTGATGTGGCGAAAATGTTTGACCTGATTAATTTTTTTGCTAGTTTGGGGGTTCTGACCTTTGGCAAGCATATATATTGAAGGAGGCTGAGGGAGAAGCCTTGAGGTTGCTTATGTCAAAATGGTCATTAGATGAATTATGGGCCTTTTGGGCCATATATTCATGTCTTTCAGGTCCAATGATGGAGTGTTCGCAACTGTGAAAGTGACTATAATACACTACCACACAATGTTTACATTGAGTCCCCAACATATTATTGTTGGGCGTTTTAGCCATTCTCTGACGAGTCATTCTATACACCTCTCAGTCTGAAACTGGGGGTTCAACAATTGATATTCACTATTAAGTTGCTTTGGGCTCAGGTCCACAAGAAACTTTGTTATCCAATCATTTACATTATTTGTTCTGATGAAAAATAATTCAGACATACATTTTACATTCCATACATTCATTTTTCATAATTTACTATTTGTTACCAAAATATTTACATGTGTGTTACAGGAAGATGATTTAGTTAAATTAGAAAGCACAGTGGAACCTACATGGGACAAATTGGTAGTGCCTTTCGAAAAGATAGTGGATCGTCTTACTGTCGTTTGGGGAATTGTGAATCATCTCAAGTCTGTGAAAGATAATGATGAGCTCCGTTCAGCTATTGAGGAAGTTCAGGTAATGCTACCATTATGTCCTGCCTTCTTTGTTTCGTGTGGAATGCATATGGAGTTCCCTTCTCAAACATTGCCTTCATTTAATGACTCATATTAGGGTAAAATTGTGCTGATGTACGAGCTGCTATGATCAATCATTATGGATAATATCATGTGATGAACCTGCTTTTCCAGATTATAGTGAACATACAAGTCTGATTCTTACTTATATACAAAGTTTCTTTTCCTGCATAAATATATTGTAATTGATGTGCTTTCATATATATTACTTGGCAGTTTAATCCTGTTATCTCACTCTGTTAAGATGAACTGGTTTTCAGAATATTATCTGTTAGCCACCTTCTCTCTCTCTCTCTC